CGGCCTCCCGCAGCGTCGGCGCGCTCTGGCTCCTCGCGCCTCCGGGGTTCCAGGCAGTTGGGAGTCGGACCTACTCCGCTCCGGCTCCGGCTCCGGCTCCGGCCCCCGGAGGCCCTCCTGCCGGCCTGCCCTCCGGGGCCATGAAGGCCATCCACAAAAAGAAAAAAGGTGACTGGGGGGCTGGCCAAGCATTCCTCACTTTCCTCCCCTCTGAAATGCCGACGCCACCCTCTTGGCCTCTCGCTGTCGTCTGTTTACTGGGCTGTCATTTACATACAGTGGGAACCCCTCTTTTCAGCGCCGTTCGCGGCTGGGAGTTTTGAGAATCTCACACCCGCGTTTAACCACAACCGCAGTCAAAAGAAGGCTGCACCTGGGCGCCAGCCCTTCCCCTCACCGCAGCTCCCGATCCTGTGTCTGTAGTTTTTCCCTTTCCATGGAAAATGTCCTAAAAAGGGGATCATAAAGCATGGAGCCTTTCGAGGCTGGCTTCTTTCACTTACTCTGCTACCCTTTGAGACAGCAGAGTGTGTCACAAGCACATTTAATTTGCAAGCTGAAGTCGGAAGTGAAGCCCTGCTCAGGAGGCACACTTCTTCCTGTGCTCAGGAGCCAGAGGCTCAAGGGGGGGACCGCCGGCTCGGAGTTGCCCCTATAATCTGGAAGTCTCTGAAGCTGGCTCCTTCTTGACCTTAGGTCACTGTATGTTGCAGACAGAGGTTAGAGATGGGCAAGGACACCTTCTTGGCAGAAAAGGCCGTGAACCCTGCCAGCTCCAGACAGCTGGGGTGGGGGAGAAGGGGAAGCCCCTTCCTCAGTAGTGGGAGGTCTCCCTGACCCCCCAAACACCAATCACATGAATTTGGCAAAGGTTTGGGGAGTAGCAGTTTGTCACTTGTCCTTAAGAAAAAGTGGGGTGTGTGTGTGTGAGAGAGAGAGGGAGAGAGAGAGAGAGAGACACGCTGGAAAAATGTGCAGAAAACAAATCTCACCAGAAGCTCCTGTGCACGGAAAGTGTCTCCTCCAAAGCTTCCTTTTGGGAAGGATAACCTGTTTTAATCACTCCTCAGTCTTTGAAACTTTTCTTGTGAGGTTTAGTTCTGTAGAAAACATATTTCAACCCCACCCACTACCATTGTTCAGGTTCTCCCAAATGTTTTCATTCTACTGTGCATTTACACTGTCATTGCCATGACGTGCTTGGGTGATTGCAAGAGCCCCTTCATTTCCCACATCCACTCTGGATGCCATAATCCATGCTCCACACAGCAGCCACAGGGTTCTTTCTTTCTCTATTTAAAAAAAAAATGCAAATTGCTTGGCCGGGCGTGGCTCAGCAGTTGAGCATCAACCTATGATCCAGGAGATCGAGGTTCAATTCCCGGTCAGGGCACATGCCTGGGTTGTGGGCTCGATCCCCAGTTGGGGGCGTGCAGGAGGTAGCTGAATCAATGACTCTCATCATTGATGTTTCTCTCTCTCTCTCCCTCTCCTTTCCTCTCTCTGAAATCAATAAAGATATATTTAAAAAAAAAAAAAAAAGCAAATCTTAATGTGTCCTGTGTAAATCCCTTCTAGATTTTGCAGTTAGGTAAACCTGGAGGCGGGTCTGCTGTGCCTTTGCTCCTGGCTGCCCCTACTCCTGTATGCTCTTTCCTGTCTCTGAACCTAGATCCAATGTGCTCCCTTCCACCTCCTTTGTCTAAATATTTCCCATTAGTCCTTTCTGCCTCAATTCAATGTTTGCCTCCTCTCTGAAGCTTGACTGCCTTCCCCACAGGAGACCCTGACCTCCTGTTGGTCACCCTGAGCCTTCTGTGCTTTTCCTTCATCACACGTGTTACAGCTGTTATTCGTCGTCTAGTTGCACGGGTGATGGATATTTGTCTCTCCCACTAGGTGGGTAGATCCATGAGGGCAAGACACAGTTCACATTCAATAAGTATTTGTTAAGTGAATGGATAATGTTAACTAACATGAATTAAACATTGACAGGTGCTAAGCACTGTGCAAAAGCCTTTCACTGTCTTACTTAATTCTCATTACAACCCTCTGAGGTGGACACATATTATCTTCACTTTACTGATGAGGAAACTGAGGAATGGACTGCGGAACTGCCCTAGAGGTCTGCTCTTGGCCCCTGTGATGACTGTCACGCTGCTGTGTAGGTGAAAGTCTAAAACATGTCTCCCTCTTTTTATCAGAAAAACAAGTCAGCCTCAAGGTCAAGGCATCTGTGCACAACTTGAGCAAAACTCAGCAGACCACACTCACCGTGGGCAGCCTGGGGCTCGGCATGATCCTCATCCAGCATGGGCCCTACCTCCAGATCACCCACCTCCTCAAGAAGGGGGCCGCAGCCAGGGATGGAACACTCCAGCCAGGTGACTGTGCTTCCCCACGCCTCGGGTCCATCCACCCCTGCCTCCCTCCGGCCTTCAGGGAGGCTCAGGTTATTAGGTTTCGGTGTAACCACAATGATGAGGATATTGTCTGAGAGCTTTCTTTGGGCCAGCCCGTTGTTATCACTTATACATACCTCCCTGTTGTGCATTGTTTATTCATTGAATTCTTACAATAACCCTCTAGGTGGGAACTACTATCATTCCCCTTTGATAGGTGAGGAAACTGAGGCTCTGGGAGTTCCTGGTCCAGTTTCACCCCTATCTGGCAAGTGGAATACAAACACAGGCACAGTGTTACTGCAGAGTTCAAGGCTCTGTGGGTAGATTTCTTCTCGGGTAGGCAGTATTAATTATCATTAACATTTAGATGCATGACCTCATTCTAGCCTCCTGACAAACCCTGAGGAAGATTGTGCATTCAGTGACCTTGCAGCCCTGACCAGTGTGGCTCAGTTGGTCGGAGTGTGTACTATACACCAAAAGGTTGCTGGTTTGATTCCCAGTCTGGGCACATGCCTAGGTTGTGGGTTCCATCCCCGGTGGGGGCTCCTATAGGAGGCAACCTATTGATGCTTCTATCATACATCTCTCTGTCCTCTCTGTCTCTCTCTTCTCCTCTCTCCCCAAAATCAGTAAAACATATCCTCGGGTGAGAATTAAAAAAAACCAAAGTCTTTACAGATAAGGAATCAGATATTTAGAAACTGCCCAAGGTCACACCAAGGAGAAGGGATTTGAACCCTTTCTGTTACACTCCACAGCCCAAAGGCCATATCAGTTCGACCCTGCCTTCCTTGTCTTTGGGTGAATGAATTTTCTATCCAATTCAAGATGTGTTTTCTCAGTGCCTGCTCTGGGCCTAGTGCTGTGCTCAGGAGTCAAGGAGGCACAATGGGATGGTAGTGTGGTGAGAAGGAAAAACCATTCAGCATTAGCTGGACTGACACTTTCTAGCTCTGTGACTTTGGACAAAATCACGTTACTTTCCAGGCCTCAGTCACTTAATCTCTAAGTTGGGATAATACCATCTTTGCCAGAGGTTGCTGAGACTTGATAATTTTTATTAAAGTGCTTTGAAAACTACAGTGCTATAGAAATATTGGCAAACATTTCTCTTAGGCTGGTCTTACTTAGAAGGTCTCTAGACTTGTGTCCTTTTAATTTTATTTAAAAAAATTTTTTTAATTGATTTTTTAGAGAGAGGAAGGGAGAGGGAAAGAGAGAGAGAGAGGGAGGGAAACATTGATGTGAAAGCTAAATAGCAGCTGTCTCCTGCAGGGGATTGAGCCTAAAACCTGGGCATGTTCCTTGACTGGGAATTGAACCAGCAACCTTTCAGTGCATGGGACAACACCCAACCAACTGAGCCACACCTGCCAGGGTATAGACTTGTGTGTTTTTGTAAATAACAAATGATTGTGGTAGAGGAACCCCAGTGGATTAAACCACTGGTTTGAAACTCTGGTTACCTATTAGAATCACCTGGGGAGCTTTTAAAACTAAGATGCCTGGGCCACATCTTCTCAGAGTTTCTGATTCAGTTGGTTTGGGGCTGGGGACAGGGCAGTTCATAGTTTTCGTTCGTTTGTTTTTAAATGTTTTTATTGATTTTTATGAGAGAGGAAGGGAGAGAAAGAAACATCTGCGTGAGAGATTGAAACATCAATTGGCTGCCTCCTGCATGCCCCCTCCTGGGGATGGAGCTCCCAACCTGGGCATGCACCATGACCAGGAATCAAACTGGCAGCCCCTCTGTGCACTAGAAGATGCCCAACCAACTGAGCAACACTGGCCAGGGCAGGCAGTTTATGGTTTAAAAGCTCCTTGGGTGATTCTGATTGCAGCTGGAGTTAGAAGCAGTGGATTAAAGAAGAAAGTAGAGGATTAATGATGGTGGTGGACAGAGTGAAAGCTACTCTGACACTCTCCCAGGACCAGGCTGAAATGACAACTAAAATGTAGAAAAACTATCCTGAATAATCAACTGCAACTGAAGATGAGCTGGAGAGCACCGTTATCACCAAGGAGATAGGGAGGAAACTGCATAGAGACTGGTAGGAGGTGTGGAGGCACTAGAGGGCTGGCTGGGCCCCACAGGCAGCAGCTGAAGGTCCAGAGGGATAGCTCAGCTGTGGGGGGTTCTCCTGAGGGCTCTGGGGTCTAAACCCCCAAGCTGGGCTTCCCAGCCCAGAGCACCAGAACTGAGAAAAGTGCCCACATAACATCTGGCTGTAAAAAGCAGGAGGGTTTCTGTCTGCCAGGGAGAGATCGCTGGAAATGCAGGCACCCCCTTAAAGAGCTAATGGACAAAGTTCCATGTGCCCCCATTCACCTTGGGCTCCAGTGGAGAGAGGGTGGAGTGGGCTAGAGCTGTGTGAGGAGAATCTAGGGTTGTGGGCTCTGGAGATAGAGCTCAGAGGACTCCCATCTGGATTCCTGTGCCGAGTCATTCCCCCATGTGGAAGAGAACATCTTTCACTGGCTGACATTTACCTTCCAAGCAGCTTTTGCCTAAGGGAGAAGCAATTGCCCTACCCTGCTGAAAACCTCTCGCCCTACCCTGTGGAGTGTCTATAGCCTGAGGCTCATTAAGAGAATTGGATTAATCAGCCTGCAGGCAGAGGCAGACCTCAGAGTGCTTTGAGTCTTTGCCTGATCTGCTTCTGGATCCAGGCTGTGTAAAAGCAGACTTTGGTGTGCATCTTGGTCTTGTCAAAACACACTCAGCCCCAAGAGAGGTGATCTCAAGACATGGGTTGTTGATAGATCCAAACAGGATACTCAGGGCCAGTCATAAGCTGCATTTGACATTGGCCTACACCAGAGACCTTCCAAAAAACCTGAGAGTCCTAGCAGGACTGCCTAATACATAGAAACAAATCCAAATAGGCAGCCAAAATGGAGAGACAAAAAACAAGCCCCAAATGAAAGAACAAGAGAAGTCTTGAGAAGTCAGAAAAAGAGCTAAATGACATGGAGAAAAGCAGTCTATCAGATAAACAGAGTTCAGAATATTGATTGTAAGGATGCTCAACAGCATAAACAAAGATATGGAAACTATGAAAAATGACTAGTCAGGTCTGCGAACTGAAGGGTCCTGGGTTTGATTCCAGCCAAGGGCATGTACCTCGGTTGCAGGCTTGATCCCTGGCCCTGGTTGGGGTTTGTGCAGGAGGCAGCCAATCGATGTGTCTCTCTCACATTGATGTTTTCCTCTCTCCACTCTCTCTGAAAAGCAATGGAAAAAATATCCTCTGGTGAGGATTAAAAAAGAAAGAAAAGAAAAATGATCAGTCAGAAATGAAGAATGACATNGGTTGCAGGCTTGATCCCTGGCCCTGGTTGGGGTTTGTGCAGGAGGCAGCCAATCGATGTGTCTCTCTCACATTGATGTTTTCCTCTCTCCACTCTCTCTGAAAAGCAATGGAAAAAATATCCTCTGGTGAGGATTAAAAAAGAAAGAAAAGAAAAATGATCAGTCAGAAATGAAGAATGACATAGCAGAAATAAAGAATACATTGGAAGGAATAAACAGCAGACTAGAGGAAGCTGAGGATTGGATCAGCGAATTAGAAGACAGGGTAGAAAAAAATCACTCAATCAGAGAACCAAAAAGAAAAAACAGTTAAAATCTGTACCCTTTGGGACAGTATGGATGGACCTGGAGAAAATTATGCCAAGTGAAATAAGCCAGGCAGAGAAAAACAAATAAGTGAGACATGATCTCCCTTATATGTGGAATCTAAACATGATAATCTGATGAACAAAACAGATTCAGTGACATAGAAGCATGGAACAGACTGATGAATCTCAGAGGGAATGTGGGGGTGGGTGGGGAGAGATTAGCTAAAGAATTTATATGAATATATGCATAACCCCTGGACACAGACAATAGTGCGGTGGAGGCCTGGAGAGGGAAGTGGGTTTGGGGTGGAAGGGGTCAATGTGGAAAAAAGGGGACATCTGTAATATTTTGAACAATAAAAAAATAATAAATTTTTTAAAAACACAAAAAACAGGAGGACAGTCTATGGGAGCTGTGGGAAAACATGAACTATAACAATATTTGCATCATAGGAATGCCAGAAGAGGTTGAAAGTAAGCAAGGGTTAGAGAACCTGTTTGAAGAAATAATGGCAGAAAACTTCCCTAACCTGGTGAAGGAAAAAGTCGCACAAGTTTAGGAGGCACAGAGAGTCCCAAGCAAGAAGAACCCAAAGAGGCCCATGCCCAGACACATCATAATTAAAATNNNAAGTTCAGGAGGCACAGAGAGTCCCAAGCAAGAAGAACCCAAAGAGGCCCATGCCCAGACACATCATAATTAAAATGCCAAAAATTCAAGACTGAGACAGATTATTAAAGATAGCAAGAGAAAAGCAATCTGTTACCNTGAGAATCTTAAAGGCAGCAAGAGAAAAACAGTCTGTTACCTACAAAGGAGCTCCCATAAGGCTGTCAGCTGACTTCTCATCAGAAATCCCACAGGCTAGAAGGGAATGGCATGAAGTATTCAAGGTAATGCAAAACAAGAATCTGAAACCAAGACTACTCTATCCAGCAAGACTATCATTCAAAATAGATGGTGAAATAAAGAGCTTCCCAGACAAAAAAAGGCTAAAGGAGTTTATCACCACCAAACCAGCATTGCAGGAAATGTTAAAAGGACTGCTGTAATAATAAGAAAAAGAGAAAGAAACATAGGCATAAAGAATTAAAATGATAATAAATAAGGACCTATCAATAATAACCTTAAGGACTTTAAGGGAGAGATCAACAGCAATACAGTCAACAGCAATACAGTCACAGTCTTGGAATTTAACATCCCACTGACTTCACTGGATAGATCTTCCAGACAAACAGTCAACAGAGAAACAGTGACTCTACTGACACAGTAGAGCAGATGGATTTAATTGATATTTACAGAACGTTTCACCCCAAAGCAACAGAATATACATTCCTCTCAAGTGCAAATGGGT